CATGCGGCTGGTTGTTCGCAGCTGGGATCTCAAGCCTCGACGTTGACGTGCGCAGGGCCACGGACTTGTGCCAGCGCCTGCACCCCCGCCACGTCATCGGCAGCTCCGTGTGCCTTGGTGGCGCAGGGGGCGCAGAGGCATTGGCCATGGATTGGCCATGGTGCGATTTAGGCCATGGGCCAAAATCCAAATCGTATCCCCAGTGAACATTCCAATCTGTACTAAAATAGACTAAAATGGGTGGTGCACCTATCCTAAAATGGCACCATTGGTTTTGAACCATGGCCATTTGTCTCTTTGTTTCCAAAAAATGTTTTTGGTGCAACATTGATTTCCGCAACAGGTTGGCCAAACATTTTGTTGGGCACCCCACCTCGATCTGTTGTGAGTCAGGCGTGTCAGAAGTTCCAGTAGGGAAGCTGCGAGGAAAGCGACCATGTCCCGTGGAAGATGTATGTTTTATCTTGATGGTCCTGATTTATGCACACTTATAGCCATCTGAGCATCATCCATCATCCATCCTACTCCTCCTCCTCATCATCATCATTATCCGCATCATTATCATCGTCAAACCGTCTTCTTTCAAGCATCCTCACAGCACATTCAGAAGCTTGATATCTCAGATGTCACATGCTCTTCTGCCTTTGGTCAGTTTTATCTTGAAAACATACCGGAACCTTCTGGGTCCAGAACCAGGCAAAGCAAAACAGCGTCCCACTCGGAGATCAAACCCCAGCGCTAGAAGCCTGGGCTGAAAATGGGGGGGAACCTTCAAAAATGGTAGTTCACCTTGGCTTCCAACAACAGAGGTGGGTCCACCTAGCTTTCTCCCTGCTTTGTTGACGCTCTGAGAAGATGGATCCATGGATGCGTCCAAAAGCTCCTGGTGCTGACTCGAACCCTGCACGAACAGGCCATCCTGGGCCCAGGCCCAATCTCCACTTGGCAAAAGTTCGGACATGCCCCGAAGCGAGTTTAGGAGTCATGGCCAGGATCACGTCAGTGGTTTGTTTTATTTTCTGGGCCTGCCGCCTCTAGCCGGCTACGCCTCTTTGAAGTTACCATGTCATGTCATGTTCTTGTTTGAGAAACGTATCCTGCGCTATGATATGATGCATGTTGTCCACCCCAACCCCAGATGATGCCGGGGATGCCAGCTTTCTGGGCCCCAGCCGGGCCCCAACCCAGAAGGCTGACATGGGGTCGCGCGCGCGCGCAAACATCAGCCCAAAAAGAACAGCCCGCAAGCCAGCCCGGAAACGCGAATGCAACAAAACACTGTAAATAGCAGCGTTTTGTGGCCGGGGACGCCGATGACCAGCGCCATAGGATGCTGAGTTCAGTATTGACTTTCCTTGTTATGAACAGCTCCGCTTGAAACTCTGCATTCTTAGCATCACCAGCAGTCATCATAATAATCCTGTCCACGCATCTTGTGCATCTCAAATCGGATGATAAGCATCATGACGTATCCGCAGCATCACCAGCAGTCATCGTGATAATCCCGTCCACGCATCTTTTGCATCTCAAATCCGATGATAGTCAGCAGCATGACGCATCCTCAGCGTCACCAGCAGGCATCACGATAATCATGTCCACACATCTTTCGCATCTCAAATCGGATGAGAATCATCACGACGCAGCCTCAGCATCACCAGCAGTCATCATGATAATCATGTCCACGCATCTTCTGCATCTCCAATGGTGCCTAACGGGACACTTGAAATGTATAGAAGAAAGAGGTGATGACGACCATCATGATGATGATGATGATTGATGATAAAAGACGACCTTCGCATCATGATTAGTGACAAGAGTGATGATGACGTTCACATCATGATGATGGCGGTAAGAATGATGATGACCTTCATGATAATCTAATCAATCATTACTACGCATCCTCATCATCAGCAGTCATCATGATAATCATCTCCAATGGTGCCTAACGGGACACTTGAAATGTATAGAAGACAGAAATGATGATGACAACTATGACGGTGATGATTCATGTTGATGATAATAAGAGTAAGAATTCGAGTGACGATGACCTTCACATCATGATTGATGATAAGAGTGATGATGACCTTCACATCATGATGATGATAAGAATGATGATGACCATGATGGACGATAAAAGTGATGATGACCTTCACATGATGATGATGATAAGAGTGATGATGACCTTCATGTTAATCTAACCAATCGTCACTATGCATCCTCATCATCAGCAGTGATCATGATAATCATGTCCTCTCAGCTTTTGCATCTCAAATCGAGTGATAAGCATCATGACGCATCCTCAGCATCACCAGTAATCATCACAACACATCCTCAGCATCACCAGCCGTCATCATGATAATCATGTCCACGCATCCTCTGCATCTCCAACGGTGCCTAACGAGACACTTGAAATGTGCAGAAAGAAGAGATGATGATGACAATCATGATGATGATGATTGATGTTGATGAAAATACGAGTATAAGAACAAGAACAAGAGTGATGATGACCTTCACATCCTGGTTGATGATAAGAGTGATGACCTTCATGATAAACGAATCAATCGTCACTATGCATCCTCATCATCAGCAGTCATCATGATAATCATGTCCACGCATCTTCTGCATCTCCAATGGTGCCAAACGGGACACTTGAAATGTATAGAAGAAAGAGATGATGATGACCATCGTGCTGATGATGATTGATGATAAGAGTAAGAGTGATGATGACCTTCACATCATGGTTGATGATTCCTTCACATCATGATGATGATGATGATGTAAGAGTGATGATGACCTTCATGATAATCTAATCAATCCCTACTATGCATCCTCATCACCAGCAGTCGTCATGATAATCATGACTACGCATCCTCTGCATCTCCGATCAGGTCGAAACGTCACGTTTGAAACGTATATGAAAAAGAGAAGGGTGTTGTTGATGATGATGATGATGATGATGTGATGATGACATATGATGAGCATCATCACTAGCGCTCGTCCCCAACATCAGTGATGATGACAAGCATCATCGTGCACCCTCTGCATCGCCAACAGGCATCATGATAATCATGACTACGCTTCCTCTGCATCTCCAGTCGGCTCGAAACGTCACGTTTGAAACGTAGATGAAAAAGAGAAAGACGATAATGATGATAATGTGATAACGACATTTGATGAACATCATCACTAGCGCTCGTCCCCAACATCAGTGATGATGATAAGCATCATCGACTACGCATCCTCTGCATCTCCGACCGGGTCGAAACGTCACGTTTGAAACGCATATGAAAAAGAGAAGGCGGATGATGATGATGATGATGATGATGTGATGACGACGTATGATGAGCATCATCACTTGCGCTCGTCCCCAACATCAGTGATGATGATAAGCATCATCGTGCATCCTCTGCATGACTATCAGTCTGCACATCCCTGGGATAAGTCTCCCACACCTCCAATTAAAACATATTAATGCGAGGTGCTCTCCCTGACGGAAAGCCAGCCCAAGACAAGCTCTATTCTTGATATATGGGCGAACCAAACGGCCATGATTTCGGTTCCCTGACGGAAAGGCAGCCCAAAACAAGCTCTCCCACACCCCAAATTAAAAAAATAATAGTTTGAGGTGCTCTCCCTGACGAACAGCCCGCCAGAAACAAGAGAAAAGGGTGCCACTGAACAACTATCATCGTAGCATCCTCGGCATTACCAATGCTGCGATGAGGTGCCAACCACCCTTCCCGTGAAAGACGACTGTTGGGCTTTCCTATTCTCCTATGCGTGAGTCACGCTTTTCATCCCATGGATCCAATGGATCTCTAGGTTCGTGAACCTGGCCTCCTTCTACGCGGAGTGCCAGCGCGACATGGAGCGGGCGGCGGAGGCCGCTCGGGGTTTCTTCCGTTTGGCGGGGGAGGGGGCTTCGTGCCATGCAAATCGTCAGTGATGCCAAACATGGCTTTGCTCTTGGTGTCCATTACCAAAGTGGAAAGGCTCCAGGCAAAACATTTGTCGGTTGGCAGGAGAACGGATCCTGAAAAAACTGCTTCCTTGAGCAGTGGATCGCTGGTTCTCCCGAAAGCTGCGCTGGCGGGAGTCCTTGTAGCTTTAACCTCTTAAGGGGCAGGACCCTCCGACAATTCCTGCTTCAATGGGGGGGGGGGAAATGGTAAAAAGGCTGGGGCTGAGGGGGGACCTGTTGATGGTTGCCTGTTATGGTTTTTATGTTCATCTCAAACCTCTTAACCACCTTATTTGTTTTGAAAAGGGCAGTCTTGGGGAGGTGTTTCATCGTTTTGTTAGAGGTTTGACATTTGGGTTTGTTTTGCCTGTTTCATTGTTGGTCTGGGGAGTGACATGTTGTTCAATTGAAAGAGGTTAGGACCTTTAGTAGTTGTTATGTCTGGGGTGTCGTGGGCCTTGTATGATAGTGGTTTGCTCGTCAAGTTTAAATGAGCCTTTAGATTGAGGCCGCAAATGGCCCGGAGTTCATATAAGCCATGCAACACCTCAACCGCACAAAAGCATACAACACCAAATACAACCAAGCAAAGGCACACCAAACCACATGGAACACTCTCAAACGATATAACGCCACACACAAAACCATATCAATCCAGGCAAAAACATACAAAGGCACCAAAAAAAACACACACACACACACATGAATTAAAAAAAGAAAAGAAAAACCAACAGCTGTGACCCTTAGGCCTGCCGCCTGGGTCGCACCTGGGGCCGCCGCCCCACAGATCATCTGCCCACCCCTGGCCCGGGCCTCTGGTCTTTGCGATGACTCGGCGGGTCGCCATTTTTTTTTGGAGGGACTGATTTTTTTGGCACCTTCCCTTTCGCACCCTTTTTTCGGCCTCTTTTTTCTGCACCTCTTTTTTGGGTTTTTCGGCCCTTCCGATTTTTGAGAGAAACCATATTCGGAGCGGACCCGGAGTCTGCAGTTGTTTTTCGGAATGCGACCGAAAACACGCAAAGACAAACACAAGATCAACAAAAGAAAGTAAAGCAAAACCAACCCAACAAATTCAACAAAGAAAGTCCATGATTAGCTTGTCTTCAGGGGAGAGTGAGATTGTGTTTTCCCTATTTGTTTGTTTGCCTTTGTTTGGCATGGGAGAATCTGCATCCGCTGGCTCATGTCATGTTAAAGCCATAGCAAGGATCGCCCTTGCGGCCTGTGACTACTGACGAATAGTAGAAGTTGAGGCCAACATTTCTCCCATGGCTCCATTGCCATAGCCCTCAAGACAGTATTGGGAAAGATGCAGGTCTGCCTACTTGGGATCCCTTCCTTCAGGTTTTAGACTTGTTCTGTTTTTCTTTGGGCTATAATGAAGCTTATATATGCTGCACTGGAGTTTGGACATATGGGGAATACTGTATGCCTTTCGGGGATACGAACGCGACGTTTTTTTCGCAACCGTTTTCCATGCGACGCCGACGCGTGGCTTTGTTTCCGGAGGTGAAACCTTCGGCTTTACGCTGCTGGCCCCTTGGCACAAGCGAGCGATCTCCTTCAGAAGGCCGTGGTCCTGCAGGTTTCTGACCAACGTTTTAACCATGTTTTGCCTGGCTCGTTCGCACTCCTGTGCGTGTTTGTGTGTGTGTGTGACTCTTCCTAGATCACGGATGCAAGGCTTCACCGCCGATTTGACGTTGCGTTGTCCGGAACGAATCTGAAGTCAGGGAGGGCCGAGAGTCTGCCACCAACGAAGACACTCTCGTGACCCTGGTGAAGCAGTTGGAGACGTCCAGCTGTGTACCTGCATTGAGGTGACAAGCCGTTGCTTTTCCACTCGCGGTCTTGTGTGATGTTTTCTTGTTACTTTCCGAATCGCAAGGGTTAGCCAACATGTTCTCTGTGATTCTCAATATTCCAAAGTGTGTGTGTGTGTGTGTGTGTGTGTGTGTGGGTGTGTGTTTTTTTGCACGGACGCTGCCCGTCCTGACCCAAAATGTGGTAGCCTTTGTTCGGCGCAGCTCAGGAGAAGAACCTCGAGGCCCTGGAGAGCTGCTGGGCAAGAACCGATTTCCCTTTTTCGGCGTCCCCCTATTTTTTGAGAGGCCTATGTGGCCGTGGGTCAACACCAACATTTTGGGGTAGGTGCGCCACTTATTTTAGTCTAATTTAGTGGGGATTGGGATGTTCACTGGGGGTACGATTTGGATTTTGGCCCATGGCCATATCGACAGAACCGCAATCACCAAAATTGCTGCAACAAGAGCAACAGCGCCGACGACCACGGCAATCTCGGCATGCAGCAGGCTGTAGCTCCTGGTTTGACCCCTTGAGACTTTGTCACGCCCCAATCTCTGTGTTTGTGGCACCTGTGGTTGGCAAGGGCTTGGATGTTTCTTTGTCAAAGGCCTAGCCACAAACGGCGCAAGGAACTCCAGCAGTGTTTGGCCCGTGTTTTCTTGGGAGCCCTCCCCCTCGGGCTTGGGATGAGGTCAGCTGCTGTTGCTGGAGCTATCCTTTGACCAAGAGAAGCTCGACCAGCACAAGGAGAGCGCTTATCTCCAAGGAAGATTTCCCAAGGCACTCCCTCCGTTTATGAAAGTCTACTTCACAATCTTTGGCTTCAGAGAGGGCTTCTTGTGGGAATAGATCGAGAGCCACAAAAGTTGACCGACTTGCAACACCCCCGCACACCGACAAGCTATTAAACATGGAACAGACCTTGCAGCAAATTGCGCGGTCTTGTGCAGCCGAACGATTGCGCAAAGACTCTGCAGCGGCAGCTCAGAGCATGCATCTGCAGCATGCTCAACAGATGACGGCGGCAGTAGGTGACTGGGTCTTGAGGCTCAAGATTGGGCGATGCAGCAAGACGACTGGCTTTCAGCGGGCAGCCAAACTCCGCCCACACAGCTGGACGCTTCCACAGGAATCCCTCTGCACAAATGAGCTTCGAGATGAGGTTTCAGCTCACCCATCAAGGTCCCTTACTTTCTTTTTTTTCTTCTGCAAACAAACATGGCCATGGGGCATAGCCTATGGCTCCATTTTGGGGTGGATGAACATCATTTGCCACCTATTTTGATGTTCACCAGGGGTACAGGGTTTTGACCCACAGCCATATGCCCGCATGCTTTTTGCTGCTTTGTTTGATTCTGACAGGAGGCGCTGGGCAGCCGCTGGGAGGAGGAAGAGGAGGCGCGACATTTTCCTAAATCGACGCGGGCCCACGGCGCTGGTCTTAGTGGTTGTTTTCTACCGTATGGCTGTGATTCTCATTAAAAAAACCACCTGAAATGAAATGAAATGTGCACCAAAGGGTCTCCTCACATCCATATGTCAGCAGCCTTCAAACAAAGGGCTTGGCCGCACTATGCAAAGAAGGCAATGGTTCTAATGGTGGCTGTCAGTAGCTCAGTGTTTACGCCCCGATGCGAATCTCAGACCTTCCCCAGGCCAAGCACCCATTTTTCGTCGAGTCACGGTGAAAAGCCCAGTTCGGCGGATATTTCATCCGCAAAGAATGGCTTGCCTCGTAAGAGGTTGGGTCAACATTTCTATCACATGGCAAACTCAGGAACATCGGAGTGGCACAAGGGATTACCACCAAAGCTTCCGTTGCGCGCAGCAGCAACATGTGGGTCTGTCTGACAGGGACCCCCAAATATTGGTTGGTTCTTTCCCCAGCATAAGCCGGTAAAGAACACCTTTAGACATCCCACCCCAATTGATTTCGACACAGGCTTTTAATCTTAAGCGAAGCGGAACACCTGGCATGGTTGGCGGACATGAATCCCTGAGTCCCACAATGGGGTTCCCACACCTTCCAGTTGCTTTCTGCGTTTTATTTCCCAAGCACGTAGGGTACCAATTGAGGGGTGGAAGGTCCTGCTCCCGTCCCTGGCGGCCCGAGCGCCCTTGGGTTGGAGGTGCGGGAGGAGTTGCTGAGTCCGATGTCGCCAGTGCGGGACTCAGGGAGTTGGGGCGCTGGATGGGACATCTCCGTGGTCAAAATTATGGCTCTGTCTTTGTCAGAAGGTATCCTCCCGACCAGCATTGAACTCACCAGAGGGTCCCTTTAAGACGGGAGGGCATCCTTTTTGTTGGTGGTTTCAAAGGAAACCAAAAAGGAAAACAGCATTTTGGGGGGTCCCCTAAAACAGACACACCCATATCATAGTATCCTTTCGACAGAGAAATAGAGGTTACTGGTGGTTGCTCCAAAAGGTCTGGTAGGAAGATTGCGACCTGTCGATTTTTGCCAAAAGGACAGGGCTGGGTTCGGAATAGTCATCAACCCCTGAGGGAGTTTACATCAAAAGGGATCTAAAACGGTTCTCACGACCATGGGCTACAAGGGCCGTTTTCACCATGGGCCATGTAGGCGGGAACCCACAAGGGGGTGGCTTGGGATGTTGCGAGGATGGCCAGTCTTGCTGGAGTGTCCAGAACTCAACGAGTGATTTGACGATCTATGTCTTGGGGTTCTTGGGAGACCTCTCTGCCAGAATGTTGTGATTTGTTTCTCTGGTCGCACGAATCGACAAAGCCAGGCTTTGTCGCCGGAGTCTCGGCTGCAAAGGCGGGTGTTGGCAGCCTTAAGAGCCGACGCAGCTTTGTTTGGTTCGAGCTGGTTTGCCTTACTTGGTCCTCACCAAGCAATTATTTGTTTGTGGGCCTATTTGGTGATGCTGGCAATGCTTGTGATGCTGGCTGGCGATGCTTGCAATGCTGGTGATGTAACAGATCCCATTTGTAGACAGCAGCTTGGTCGGTGCTTCGATCGAGCTTAATTCCTCCCGAGGTTTCCATCCAAACGCAGGTGGAAGGTTAAGGGACTGTCGCCAGAAATTGGTGTTGCGGGTTAGCGAGACCCTGGGCATTCCAACTCACAAGGACATGGCTCCCAGTATCGATGTGGATCGCTTCGACCGCTGGAGACTTAACTGTGCTTGCACGAAGCTCACATGGATGAGGTGCGTTTTGCACTGCAGTGGCCAAAGGGAACAAATCGTTGGTGGTGCTCTATTAGTGGCAAACACCCTTATGTTTGTGTTGCGGGAGTCTGCAAGGGAGTGTGCGGTGGCCGGATTGAGGCGACAACTGTCTGTCCGATTGGGATCGAGCGCGGCTGTTTGCTGCCAACTTCGCCAAAGAGACTGCCGGGATTTGCCTGGATCGGCCGCTTGGATCGGAGCTTGGAACGCATCTTGCGGCGTTTCGGAGAGAGACCAGGCCTCGCCATTCCGAGGGCCGACCTCGAAGGATGTTCCATGGAACATTTCCAAAGTTCCACGTCCCACCCTCTCTAATGCCTATGCCCATGATGCCCATCACGTATGGCCTATCCAAAGCGAACATGTGACAAGCTGACGGGCAACACGTTTCGACTGTACCCAGGTCCTGGGATCCAGCGCCAAAAGTCTCAGGGACCTCAGCTCGCGGCCCGGCGAATGCGTGCTGTCGCGAGTAGGTCGTTTTGTGAAAAATTTGAGCCGCGCCGATGGGTCTCCTCCAACTCGATTTTTCCATTTTTTGGGTAGGCTAAATTTCAGCATCTGAACTGTGTATTTGCTGTGTACCCCGGATGGCCAAGATGTCTGCACACTCAGGCAGCCCAAGGGCTGTGCAGAACCATGGAAGAAATGGTTGGAAACAACTATCAGGAGAGACCATAGGACCGCTGCTACCATTCTGAGAGCTGGTTCCTCTACTCCCCAAACTAGATTAAGAGGCGGAAGAGGCGAAGGAATGAAAACATGAGGGATATCAGACATGGATGCAACGCGAGGGAAAGCAGAGGTGGAGGCTGTACGTCCCTTAAAAGCTGAAAACAATAATGGTTTGCGGGAAGCAACAGAAGCGGAGAAAAGTATGAACAGCAAGTGCAGCCCACAATCACCAAATCTGACAGGTTTCGTTTGGAGGATAGTTTTCTGCAATTGGCTCCTTTGTCCAGTTGCATAATTTTGCTGCCGGGACACTTTGTCTTCTCGCCATCCGAAGGCAAGCCGTCCAAAGCGAAGCCGAGCATTGTGCAGCAGGCCTTTGAAACTGTCACCAGGACGGGACATCCGGGATGTCATGCCGATGGCGCCTCGTCAATCGCTTTGGCCCGATTGGGTATGTCTCAGGCCGGCAGGAACGCGAGTGGAGTATGGGGCACCCGCAGATTGATATGGAGCCCGGACGCTCCACCCGAAAGGAGATTTCCTCGATGATGGTTTGTTTTGAGGGGTTTGATTTGAAAGAGAGAAGCCGCGATTTTCCATATCGCCATACTATTTGAATGGGGAATACCCTCCAACCGGTTTTTTGTTTGCACATGTGTTTGATTGCTGGAACCACCCAGATGGGCTTTCCTTCGGGGGATGTTACCAAACTCATCCACGGACTGTACCCCAGCAGCAGCGAGCAGCCGGACGCTGCCAGGACGGGCCTTTCATTGTCGCCTGAGCAGCGGAAGGCGTGCTGGGCTGGGAGGGAAAGGATGAAAGGATTGTTGAAACGATTCCATTGAGCAAGAACTCAAACAGCATATGCAAACTTACCTCACAAATGGATATGGATGGCAAGAGTGCCAATGGAACCTAACAAACTGCTGGGATGATTTTCCTGTTAAAGGAATTCCGCTGGTTCCATTGGCAAATCGGCAAAGCTCCGTGTGCTGAAGCTCAGAAGCACACCTCAGGAGACGCGCTCGGTGATTTGGGTTGCTTGTTCTCGCATCGCCTTGTTGCCTTGGGAATTCTTTTGACCTCGCGGGCTATGCTCTTCGACAAATCGCGGGCAGGAATGCAAAGCTGTGCGGCGCTGGTTGAGCAACCCAGCTGAAGCGGTCTTCATGTGACGGGCCAGCCATATTTCCGGTATTGGGTAATTCATGGAAATCTCCCGCTGGTTGCGAATGCTGTTGGAGTTTTTTGGCGGGATGAAGCTTCAAGGGGACAAAAAAGGCACACAAGGAGCCCAGTGTGGAATCAAGTAAATGCTGCGATTGAACATCAACCAGTTCAACATTGACATAGGTGTGTCTTGCGTTGGGAACTCTTTGAAAGGGAAGCCAAGAGAAGTCCAGCCATTTTCGGGGTTCCCCACCCCCCCACCCTTTGGGAGAGAAGCCCAGATGGTGAAGCTTTGTTCCGCTCAAATAGTTGTACGCACATTTGTAGAGCCGGGCTTGTACATCCTGAAGCCGAAGCCAAGGCGCTATGCCGTGCCATCATCACATGGATGAGGATGAGGCACATCTGGTGCCTTTAGCGCTTCAGGAAACGGGTGTTTTTTTCTTTCTTCTTTTTTCTCCAAGCGGGAAAGCCCATTTTCTCTTTTTCTTCCGTTTGATGGGGTGTGACACATCTTATGACAACATGTTGGGTTGGGTTCCGTTGCAAAATTGAAGAGGCGAAAGGCTTAAGCAAGCAGAAGGCTCACTGCAGGATTTGCCTCAAAGCTGTGGGTGGCTCGTCTTTCTTTGAGGTTTTAAAGGACAAATAAAAGGAACACCATTCTAATATTTTGGGAGTCCCCCCTTGTGGAGCGTCACTGCAAATGGTTGGTTTTCTCTTGGCTTCCTGCATGGGACCATGCCAACGGTGGGGTCTTAATTGGAGTGACAGTAGGCAACACCCAGTCTGGTGAAGCTCGAACGGGAAGCAGGAGTTGGATGTTGCAGCTGAACATGGTTGGTTTCCCCTTTTCCCAGAAACCTGACCCAGGTTGCCCAGGTTGCCCAGGATTCAGCACCGCTGATTTGCGCCAGGACGACATAGCCAGCGACATTATCCAGGTGCGGTGGCTGGACGAAGTGGAGGCGGACTTGCGGCTTGGGCTTGGGCTTTGGAGTTCGTTGGCACATCGAAGGGCACCTAGCCCTTGCCGTGGATTCAGAGGTTGAACGTTGACTTGCATCACCCGACGCCCCGGGTTTGATCTTCAGCCTTTGATTCTTCGTGAGTGTTGCACGAATCCCAAGCTGGTTGGTGGTTAACTTGAGGTCGCGCGCTGGGCGGCGGTGCTTCTTCCCAAGTTGAGTCCTCTGGTACAGCAAGGTCTCAATCAGGTTCGTTTGGAGTTGGGCAGAACAGCCCCTACCTTTACCATAGTATGTAACCAAGGAAGGGGAGCCTTTCATCCCCCACCTGACTGTTGAGTGCAAGGTGCCAGAGATCCACTCGTATGTACGCCTTGGCTTCTAGCTGCAATCCCTCAAGCCAGCGCGAGCAGCATGGCGGGTGGAGCCAATGAGACATTTCACTTCTTGATTGTGGGCGTCCCGCTTTCTCCACTGCACGGTGGCATATCCATCGGACAGGAGCTTTGTTTGCGTGGGCATAAGGTCACTGTTCTCAGCTTCGCAGACAGGGGAAGGCAGAAAGTGGAGAAGTACTCGAAGGCCTGCAAATTGAACTACGTCAGCTTGGGCCCCCTGCCCGTGGATGAGGAGCTCGAGGAAGCGCTGCTGAAGGAAGGCATGAGCAGCAACAGCACTCTGCACCATTTTGAACACATTGTGAAGCAAGTGCTGATGCCTTCCAACGACGCTTTGGCCCTTGGAGTCGAGAAATATCTGGAGAACGCCGAGAGGCCCACCTTCGGGCTGGTGTCGATGCCTTTTGGCCTCGTGGGGCGACTTCTCGAGCAACGCGGCGTGGACTTCGCGGTGAACATTCCAACGATCTTGGTTCCACCGGTACCGTGGGCTGCGGCTTATGTTCCGGTGCCCTTTGTTCTGGACGTGAGCGTGCATGACATGAGCTTCCTGGAAAGGATGCTGGTGATTGGGAGCAACTGGCTCTTCAACCTGGTCCGCGTGGCCGCCCTGACCGCGGGCTATCGCTTCTCCTTCATGCCGGAGTTGGGCTGGGACATGTGGATGGGGCGCCTGGTCTTCGTGAACACCATCCCGGGCATGGACTACACGCAGCCGCTGCCGCCCCTGGTGCAGTACCCGGGGCCGGTGGTGGACGTGAAGAAGATGGAGCCCTTCCCTGAGGACGTGGAGCGGTGGTTGGAGGAGGGCATGTGTCAAAATCGGATTTGGACGCTCCCCCCGAAAAAAAGAAAAGAAACAAGACATATATATATATATATATACACATTATTTGTGTGTGTGTGTGTGGTTTTTTCTGGACCCACCCGGAAAAGTTGCCCAGTCTCAAAAGCAAGAACGCCACCCCTTTCAGGAGGTTCCGGCGAACACGCCCGTGGTGTACGTCAGCTTCGGCACCGTGGTGTCTCTCTCGCCCGACCGCGCCAGGGCGATGCTGTCGACGTTGACCTCCTCAGAGTATTACATCCTCTGGGCGCTGCCAAAGTCCCAGCAGGCGGGCAGTCAACTTTCGTGTTTTCACATGGGGAGGTTGGAGGGAAGGGAGGGGGAGAGCCCCATCTGGATAGGCGAGCAGTCATGTTGACAAGTCAGTGAGTACCCTGATTTTTGTGGGGAATGCGGTGAGTTCCCTCCAAGTGGATAGGCGAAGAGTCGTTTTGACCGAACAGGTGGGCCTGCCGGAGACTTTGCCCAGCGTGAAGGTCCACCACTGGGTGCCCGCCACGCGCTTGGCGCACCCCAAGGTGAAGGCCTTCGTGTCCCACTGCGGCGGCAACTCTGCGGCCGAGTCCATGGCGCTGGCCGTGCCGATGGTCGGCTACCCCCAGTTCGGGGACCAGCCCGCCGTGTGCCGCCGCATCGCCGACGCGGGCGCGGGCATCACCGGCCCGCAGGGCGGCTCCGAACAGAGTCCTACGCCCGGAAGGCCGAAGCCATGTCCCGGCTCTTCACGCGGTTCGGGGGCGTGTCACGGGCAGCTGACCTCATGGAGCTGGGGGCCAGGGGGGACCACAAGCTGCTGCAGATGCCGCAGGAGCGCTCAGCGACCACCTGGTTCCTCCTGGGAGGCTATGATTTGATGATCTACCTGCACTTGATGTTTCTCTTCATCGTCTTTGGCTGTGTGAAATGCTGCAGAAGGCGGCCTTCAAAAGAGAAGATGCAGTGAGAGCATTGCAATCGACATCTGCGCAGTTTGCGGCCAGTTGCGACGCTGCCTCGTGCAGACATTCTTGGCCTTGGAACCTGATGGGCGAGGGAGTCTGGTGGCTTAAGCGCCTTTTGGCGAGTTCAGCGGCCGTTTTCTGGTGGAGCGAGTGTACAGCAATGCTCTGGCCGCTACGAGCGCCATTAGCAGCGAAGCAATTGTGTCTCCTTTATTTTTGTTCTTTCACGTGTTGCTAGAGCCAATCTCAGCCTATTTGCCTATTCCTCATTCTGTCTTGCAAGCTCTGTACATTCGGCAACCGAAGGGGCCCTTGTTTCGCAGCTGGCTTGGACCAACTCGGATTCCCAGTTCTGCTTGGCGCGAAGTCCACGTGCTCTCTGCACGTTGAACTTGTGAGCAGACTATATTCCATATGTACATGCACATATGTGCATGTACCCATTCAGGCGTTTGTATGTGTATGTATTTCTAGGTATTTCTGTGTATTTCTATGTATATATATATATGTATGTATATGCTTATGTATATGCTGATGTAAATGTATACATATACAAATATGTAAGTTTGCTTGTATGAACAGGAATAGTACCGTCAAGTGCGCCACATGAGCAATGAGGGACACTTTTTGTGTGCATGCATGCGGCAGCCTGAAACACTGACAGCTTTCCAACTTATGACCATGCCAGCCGTATTTCATTGTCACAACGCCTATTCATGGGAAGCCACCCTGGTCATTTTTTTTGATCTTCAAATGTGCACATCATTTGTTGCAGCGGGAGTGCTATTCGTAGACCACTAGAAAGTTGTTTTGCTGCATCTTTTGAAGATACACATTTGCCTACGTGCTGATCAAAGCGGAAAGGTTTTGGTCTCGCCGGCCGGCGGGCCAACCTGCCGGCCATGCAAGCCATGCAAGCCATGGCAAGGTGTGTCCTATGTACTATTATTCTTTGCTGTGGGGGAGGGGACAAATATCTCGTAAGAGGTGCTTTACAGGAATCCAGGAAAGCCCAAAGCACACCTTGATTGTGAGGGGTCCTCTCTCTTTTGGATCACACTCAGGATGCATCATCTAGGGTTGGGCAAAGTGGATGGCATGTTCTAAGGCTGTTTCGCTCGTGAAGAGCCAGAGTCCCCAAAAGCCTGTTCACAGAAACCTGCCTTGAGTCACCCCTTCCGCTGTCGCGTCTTGCGCGGGAGATTCCGCCAAAACCGGATCAGCCAAAAATAGGTGTTACTCTTTGTTTTTTTTTTTTGACACACCGTGCAACAGGTACCCTCCCCCCGAACATTACTCTGGGTTAGGTCCCTCAGGCGGGTGTTAGTGGTTTAGCCAAGTCCAGGAAACAAAGGGAAGCTTCTTGAGCCTCGACCCAAGCCTCCGCAGATGCCGGAAGCGGACAGCGCTTTCACGGCTTTCACTGTGCGGGGCAGAGGCAGCTGCGGAGCCATCGGGGTGGAAACACCGAGGGGTACACTGCCATCCACTGATACGGAAACTGACTGGGGAGTGGGGGTGGGGGGGAAGGCTGGAACTTCCGGCCAATTTCCTCTCTGTGGAGGACACTCTTGATTGATCCCGGAGTGACCAAAAGGAAGCCTTTGCACACCACGAAACTCATTGGTTCTGTTGGTGCCTAGCATGTGCTAGTTTCCTCATTGCCTTAGTCGGAAGGATACACCGGCCGATTCAAGAGGGGTTAGCTGAAAACGGGTGATCCACAGCATGTTTGAACATGTTGATAAGGTCACTGACATGGCTATGATTTTTAATTGGGAACTCAAAATCGGCAGATGGACATAAAACCCCATGAACATAATGCCACACATAGCCACTAAAGAGTCCCCACATAGGATTTAATACCCATTTGGACTTTTTCGGGCGCCAATGTTCAGTGAAGTCTTTGGGACGGAGAGTTATTCGCCTAGTTGGAACATCACCTCTGGCTGAGTTGTGTTTCCATGATTCAGGTCAACTATTTCGAGGGGTCAGGCAAGAATTGAACTGGAAGCTGGATGCCAAGCAGCATTTGAACAGTAAAACATATTTTCTTGAATAGGCCATGGAGCCTCAACTTGGGCTTTGGTCTCTGCTGGCTTTCTCTCTAAACAAAGCACACCCTGAACAAAGCATCAAGCAAGTGAAAGCAGCATGGCCAAGGGAATCCCCTAAGTGAGAAAGTAGTCATGAAAATGGGCATCCCATGTCGGTATCACAGATTTCGTGTGATTTTCTCCACCATGGGTGCGAGACTATTTGAGGGAGCACAAGGAGTCGATGGTTTGGAAGCTCGACTTTGACGAGCGCTTGGGTCAAACTCTTGGGTGATTTTTCCACACAACTTGCGTCCAGTCCCATGCGTTTCCCATGCGTTCGCCGTTTCTGGCAGGGTATGGGCCGACCAAGCGGTTCCTCGTGGCCTGTGTGGGGCGCTCACAGAATTTGGGGGAGACCTTGTTTGGCCCTTCAAGGATGAAACACCGGGTGATTTAGAGGAGTTCCTTCTAATTTAGTTGGTTGTTGGAGGTTCCTTTCTTGTGGTTCAAAGGGGAACCGAAGAGAAGCCAAAGCCCCTTTTCTGAGGGTGCATTTATGTTATTTTGAGATATTTTTACTGCTGAAGGGAACGCCTCGGGTGGTTGCATAAAAGTCCATGAATTGACAAATTGATGACGTCCAGCGAAGCGTTCAAATTATATGAGCGACTTCCTTTATTCACAGAAGACCACATTGAAGTCCGGGCTGACATATTTTTGGATAACATACCGAAGGAGGTGCAAAACGAGGTGGAACCCCCCCAAAACGAGGAAGAGCCATGACATTAGGTGGTTCAGATCACAAACACATGCGGCATTGGAAAAGCAGGAGCACCTGGCCATTCGACCATGTAGCAATTGACTGCCGAAGCTCGTATGAAGGTCAGAGACTCACGTGTGCGGGATCTTTGGTGGGGCTCAGCTTGACAGGATTCACCTCTGTGCTTTTCCCCGCTTCTTCTGGTGGTTTCAAGCATCACCTTTTGGGCCGCTTTGAAATGTCATGATATGTTCAGTGATAATTGCCCAATACGCTGATGACGGTTGAGTACTGATTTGGCTCAAAGGAAAAGGGCTGGCTATATAAGTTAAGTAGTGCACCTGCTGCCGCCAACGGACATTTTGCAAATGAACGGTGATGCCTTTGATATATCTGTTTCAGTTCCTGCACGTCCGAAAAGTTCAGTCTCCCTTTTGGCGCAGACCCGAAGGCCTCAAGGTTCCACTCTTGTTCACTGAAGGGGAACGAGAGAACGAGGCGCCCACAGAATTCGGGGAGGGCTTCGTTTGTTTGGAGATTCAACCGGAATCCGGCCGAGTGGGCCCTGACTTGTTCTGCCTATCCTGCAGCCGTCATCCATCAAGCTTGCTCAGATCGACCCCCCTCGACTCTCATCTCTTCTGTTGCAGACATGGCTCCCATGAAGGCAACCAAGACCATGAAAGCGATGAAGGCTGCCAAGGCCATGACCAAGGGGGGCATCGTGAGTGAGCTGGCCTCGGCTACAGACATGAAGAAGTCTGACGTGTCGCAGCTTCTTGGTCAGCTCTCTGAGATCGGAGCGAAGGAGGTGAAAGCTACCGGCAAGTTTGTGATCCCGGGGCTTTGCATGATCAAGACGCGCAAGAAGCCAGCCACCAAGGCGGGCAAGCGGATGATGTTCCTCACATGGTCTAGCACACACCTTTTAGTTTGTGAACTTTCCTTCAACCGCAGGTGAAAAGAGTGAAGCGTCTTTTCTCTTGTCTGCTGGCCCAGGTTCGGCAAAGAGGTGGCCATCAAGGCTCAGCCTGCGAAAACAGTCGTCAAGGCATTCGCAGTTTCAGCTCTGAAGAAGCAGATCTAAAACGTTCTGTCGAGCTTGGCCTGTGTCCTGGGTGCTGATCGATGGGGTTTGGCGAACAGCACCTGGGGCAGGCTGATCTTGATGTGCTGCATGGTTGTTTCAATTACGGCCATGTCATGCCACAATCTGCGGTTTCCAAGTTGTACATGTGATCTGGAGCCATCAGAAGAAAGACGGCGTGACCCGCTGCGAAGGGAAGATCAGAGTCACGTGTGGGAATCTTTGGGGAGGGGGTGGAGTGGGGTGAGGGTTTGCTGGTTTCAGAGCAGTGACTTCTGTTGCCTATCCTGCAGCCATCATCCATCAAGCTTGCTCAGATCGACCCCCCTCGACTCTCATCTCTTCTGTTGCAGACATGGCTCCCATGAAGGCAACCAAGACCATGAAAGCGATGAAGGCTGCCAAGGCCATGACCAAGGGGGGCATCGTGAGTGAGCTGGCCTCGGCTACAGACATGAAGAAGTCTGACGTGTCGCAGCTTCTTGGTCAGCTCTCTGAGATCGGAGCGAAGGAGGTGAAAGCTACCGGCAAGTTTGTGATCCCGGGGCTTTGCATGATCAAGACGCGCAAGAAGCCAGCCACCAAGGCGGGCAAGCGGATGATGTTCCTCACATGGTCTAGCACACACCTTTTAGTTTGTGAACTTTCCTTCAACCGCAGGTGAAACGAGTGAAGCGTCTTTTCTCTTGTCTGCTGGCCCAGGTTCGGCAAAGAGGTGGCCATCAAGGCTCAGCCTGCGAAAACAGTCGTCAAGGCATTCGCAGTTTCAGCTCTGAAGAAGCAGATCTAAAACGTTCTGTCGAGCTTGGCCTGTGTCCTGGGTGCTGATCGATGGGGTTTGGCGAACAGCACCTGGGGCAGGCTGATCTTGATGTGCTGCATGGTTGTTTCAATTACGGCCATGTCATGCCACAATCTGCGGTTTCCAAGTTGTACATGTGATCTGGAGCCATCAGAAGAAAGACGGCGTGACCCGCTGCGAAGGGAAGATCAGAGTCACGTGTGGGAATCTTTGGGGAGGGGGTGGAGTGGGGTGAGGGTTTGCTGGTTTCAGAGCAGTGACTTCTGTTGCCTATCCTGCAGCCATCATCCAGCAAGCTTGCTCAGATCGACCCCCCTCGACTCTCATCTCTTCTGTTGCAGACATGGCTCCCATGAAGGCAACCAAGACCATGAAAGCGATGAAGGCTGCCAAGGCCATGACCAAGGGGGGCATCGTGAGTGAGCTGGCCTCGGCTACAGACATGAAGAAGTCTGACGTGTCGCAGCTTCTTGGTCAGCTCTCTGAGATCGGAGCAAAGGAGGTGAAAGCTACCGGCAAGTTTGTGATCCCGGGGCTTTGCATGATCAAGACGCGCAAGAAGCCAGCCACCAAGGCGGGCAAGCGGATGATGTTCCTCACATGGTCTAGCACACACCTTTTAGTTTGTGAACTTTCCTTCAACCGCAGGTGAAACGAGTGAAGCGTCTTTTCTCTTGTCTGCTGGCCCAGGTTCGGCAAAGAGGTGGCCATCAAGGCTCAGCCTGCGAAAACAGTCGTCAAGGCATTCGCAGTTTCAGCTCTGAAGAAGCAGATCTAAAACGTTCTGTCGAGCTTGGCCTGTGTCCTGGGTGCTGATCGATGGGGTTTGGCGAACAGCACCTGGGGCAGGCTGATCTTGATGTGCTGCATGGTTGTTTCAATTACGGCCATGTCATGCCACAATCTGCGGTTTCCAAGTTGTACATGTGATCTGGAGCCATCAGAAGAAAGACGGCGTGACCCGCTGCGAAGGGAAGATCAGAGTCACGTGTGGGAATCTTTGGGGAGGGGGTGGAGTGGGGTGAGGGTTTGCTGGTTTCAGAGCAGTGACTTCTGTTGCCTATCCTGCAGCCATCATCCAGCAAGCTTGCTCAGATCGACCCCCCTCGACTCTCATCTCTTCTGTTGCAGACATGGCTCCCATGAAGGCAACCAAGACCATGAAAGCGATGAAGGCTGCCAAGGCCATGACCAAGGGGGGCATCGTGAGTGAGCTGGCCTCGGCTACAGACATGAAGAAGTCTGACGTGTCGCAGCTTCTTGGTCAGCTCTCTGAGATCGGAGCGAAGGAGGTGAAAGCTACCGGCAAGTTTGTGATCCCGGGGCTTTGCATGATCAAGACGCGCAAGAAGCCAGCCACCAAGGCGGGCAAGCGGATGATGTTCCTCACATGGTCTAGCACACACCTTTTAGTTTGTGAACTTTCCTTCAACCGCAGGTGAAACGAGTGAAGCGTCTTTTCTCTTGTCTGCTGGCCCAGGTTCGGCAAAGAGGTGGCCATCAAGGCTCAGCCTGCGAAAACAGTCGTCAAGGCATTCGCAGTTTCAGCTCTGAAGAAGCAGATCTAAAACGTTCTGTCGAGCTTGGCCTGTGTCCTGGGTGCTGATCGATGGGGTTTGGCGAACAGCACCTGGGGCAGGCTGATCTTGATGTGCTGCATGGTTGTTTCAATTACGGCCATGTCATGCCACAATCTGCGGTTTCCAAGTTGTACATGTGATCTGGAGCCATCAGAAGAAAGACGGCGTGACCCGCTGCGAAGGGAAGGTCAGAGTCACGTGTGGGAATCGTTGAGTGGGCTGGGGTGGGGCGGGGTTGGCCAGTTTCCACGACTGTTTTTAGTGACACAGGGAAGTCTTTATCGTACCATGGGCATGCCTGGGATGGATTGCACGACCCTGGGCGCCAGAGCTGTGGATTTCAACCCGACTCCAAAGGATGGTCAACTTGCATGCGTCTCATAACTCTCTGTCGAGCCAGCTGAGTGATTGGCTGGCTACTCAAGCCAATTGGCTTCCGGTTGGTTTCGTGGGCTTGTTAGCCACCTACGATTTCGATTAGCTAGTCAGCGAACGTAGTTAGCTGTCTAAATCTTCTCTTAGTTTAGTCACTTCAATTCACTTCACCTCCATTCACTTCACTTCACTTCACTTCACTTCACCTCACTTTACTGCACTTCACTTCAGTCAGTCAGTCAGTCAGTCAGTCAGTCAGTCAGTCAGTCAGTCAGTCAGTCAGTCAGTCAGTCAGTCAGTCGTTCAGTCAGTCAGTCAGTCAATCAGCTAGTAAGCGAGCCAGCAAGTGAGTGAGTGAGTGAGTGAGTGAGTGAGTGAGTGAGTGAGTGAGTGAGTGAGTGAGTGAGTGAGTGAGTGAGTGAGTGAGTGAGTGAGTGAGTGAGTGAGTGAGTGAGTGAGTGAGTGAGTGCCTGCGTGCGAGCGTGAGTGAGTAAGTGAGTGAGTGAGTGCGTGCGTGCGTGCGTGCGTGCGTGCGTGCGTGCGTGACGCACCGGCAGACAGTCAATCACTCAGCCAGCCTTCGTTTTTCCTTGCATCAGAACCCAATTTTCCACCCATCGGGTCGAATGGGAGCATCCATCATCCACGGTTTCCGAGCGAAAGTGAGCTGGGAAGCTCGCCCGTGGCTGTAGGCAGTTACTTAGTCTCAGTTGGTTCGCTAGCAGGTTTGTTTGCCAGGCAGCTGGCCAGCCAGTTAGTTGGTCTGGCAGTCTCATAGCCGGTTGGTTCTTAGCTAGCTAGTTCCTGGCTGTTCGCGGAGGCTGCTCATGGCTGAAGCTCAGGGCTTCTGTTCATGGCTTGTGATCCTGTTGCAGGGAATGTGCTCGCGACACCAGCACAACCCAAAGCAACACCAAACGCGTCAAAGGCAGACCATTTCGCGTGCCTCCATCGTTTCATTCAGCGGCTTGCAGGCCAAGGGCCCGTTTTCGTTTTTTTGGAACCGGCTGGGCCTGATCAGAATTACCCTTGGTGGTTTCACTAGGTTCCCACCCCAAAAGCAAGGAAGTGAGAGCCCAGCAAGTCTCAAAATGGAGCCGCAATTCCTTGGCCGAGGCAGTGCGTTTGCATCCCAACGCCTTGGCCGGCGGCGGGTCGCCGTCGGAGGGCCGATCACGGGCGGGGGCGCCCAAAAGGTGCGAGTCGGGGTCCCATTGTTTGACAATGACACGCACATGTAGGTTGATGGCTCCTCTTATTGACATGGAACCCAGAAAGGGTCATCCGTGGATGGAATGTTTAATTGCTCCCTTGATTTGTTTTTGGATAACATCTAGAATTGAGATTCTTATCTCCCCAAATCAACATGGACACGAAGGGAGTTGTTCCATACTCCTCGTTTTCAGGCCAGAAAACGGAACTTTCGGTTCACATTTTGTGTGGACCACTCTCATCAGATGAGGGTTGGTCAAAATTACGAGTAGTATGGTCCATTTGGGAGGGACATGAGGGAGCGGATCAAATTTCCCACAAAAGACCAGGGGCTCATCAATTTCGCATGTTCGCTTCGAGAAACAGGTATTTTGACCCCGCCTCACACTAAACGGAAACCAACTGAAGGCATTGGTCTTGACCGTTGAGAAACACTCATGCAGGATAGTCGTTCGTGTTTTAGGGGTTTTCCACACTTGTGCTGGTCTTTGTGAGACAGGCGACATATGATTGCAATGTGGGAGAGCCCTGCGAAAAGAATGCTTTGGTGAACCAGCGACGCGTTCGCCAGTCGTTTTCCCCTGAAGCCAGCGCACGGCCGTGCACGCTAGCCTTTGTCCAGCGCTTTGCACGGAATTTAAGAGTTGGAACCTCGAAAGTGGCTGGACATGAATCCCCCAGCGAAATGATGTCCACCAAGTTGCTGACATTCACTCCGAAGCCCGAAACCCGAGGCCCGATCCCGGACCCGCAGCAGCTCCAGCGAGATACCCAACTGGCTGCGGAAGCTGACAGACCTTATCGCCCCTCGGAGCTTCGGGACGGCGGGCGGGAATCGGTGGGGTTCCAGGGGGTTTCTGGGCTGGGGATCGTTGGGGGCCTGAGCTGCCAAGCTGCGAAGCGGAAGCTGGTTCCTTTGACCAACTCGCCAAGCAGGATGCAGAGGCATGCCGATCCGAAACATCCAAGCCCCGGTTTGACGAATGTGCCCTGATTTTCAATGGGTGGGGGGGAGACGTCGCAGGGAGAAGACTCCGTTCTTGTTCAGAGCCAGCGCCACCAGCAGCATCACCGGCTGTGGTGGTGGCTGCTGGCCTCAGCATCAGTCAGAGTCAAAATTAAACCACCAAGGGACCGCAGGTTTTAGTCCATGTTTCCTTCTACCAGGGTTCCATTTTGGGTACCTATTTTGACCCACAGCCATGTCGGCCCATGCCCATCCCAGTGCCCAAAGTTGCCTCTGGCTTCGAGGAAGCGTGGCCAGAGGGCCGCAGGGAGGTGAGGAGCTTGAGGACAGTGGTAGGGGGCTTTGCATGGGCTTAGTGTTGGTCAGTTTCTACTCCCAACCCGTCTGGCCAATGTTTGCATTTTGCTTCAGGCATCCAACAGCTGGATTTCTGGCCGGAAATGGTGATCGTTTCCTTTTGGACAACTAATGGAGGGGATCCAGAATGAAAGTTGCTTGAATGATGTCTAGCATCAAACCAATTATCTCACGAGACGTGTGCCCAGATGGTGAAGGAGCTCTCCGCCCGCATGCTTGGAGTGAGGTCTTTGAAAGGATCGCGTGATATCTTGAATCTGCATACGATCAACATGGAACCCCAAACATGTATGTGTTCCCCCAAAAGGAGATTCCGAGAGACATAAGGCTTTTGCTAGATTCTGGTCTGCAGTATAGCAATCCTGGTAGACTTTTCCGTGTAGCGCGAGGATCGACAGCGAAGACTTGCTGGCCGAGCTGGGCATGCTGCTGACGGACGACGGCGTCATACGAAGGACGGCGTGCTCGTGCTGATGCCTTGCAAAATCACCAGTTGGACCATCCCTTTGTTCGTTTGTTTCGAGAGGGGTTCCTGTAGCATGGGGTTGCACGGGGGCTCCGTTTTCCCTTGAAATTAAAATCAACCTCCAGAAAAGAGGATGTCCTGTAGGTATGTCAAAAAGACAGAGCACTTTTTGGTGCTCCCTTTCCTCTACACAAATGCTGGTGTGTTAAGAGCCGTTTGCATGACTTCATTGCCTGGATTGGCCCCACATGAGGGTGTGACCTGGAAATTGCCCACCAGGTGAAATTCTTAGATGATGTCGCTGATCCCCCCCCCGCTGCACATTGTATGCTAGGTTATACCCAGCCCCCGGTGACCATGGGGAGGGGGAGACCCACTGGTCCGGCTCCATGTTTGGGGTGACGCGTGCAAGGTTCTAACAAACACATTACTTTCGGATGCACATCCCTTGGTACAACCAATCGCAACGCAGGCACTCACAGCTGGAGATGTATGAGCTGTTCCCAGGACCGGGCACCAAAGCCAAACCGCCTTATGTTTTTTTTTCTTCTACTTTTTCCGCCTGGGAGCGGGGGCTTCCTATTTCATGTAAGACATGTGTTTGAAACAAAACTGGAGGCCCTATGTTTAAGGAAACCCCATTTGGCTAGGATATTTTGCGCGCCATACTCCCAAATGGTTGGTGGACGATCATAATGTGTAATTTTTGTACATGAAAGGGCCCGGGGTTAGGATTCATACCCATTTGGACTTTTTCAGGTGCCAATATTCAGTGAAGTCTTTCCCGCGGAGTCATGCGCCCAGTTGGATCATCACCGGCTGAGTTGTTTTAGGAGCTTCCTTTGAGGTCAACGTGCGGCAAACCGTGTTTTTGCGTTCTGGCAATGAACTTTAATGGGGGACCCCCCGCAAAAGTGGTTCGACCACACACATCCCCACAATTGATGTCCACCCAAAGGTCATCAAAGTTCATACATACCCTTTTGGTTGGACATCACCAACGAGAAGATGAGCCCTGCATGAATCTCAGACGCTGCGAGATGGCGCTGTTGAGATCTGCGCAATTTGCCCTGCCCTGCGGGTGTATCACGACAACCTTGGAGTTGTTTTGCAGTTGAACAGCATTCATCTTGTTGGTTTCGGTTTTGGGGCTGCTCGGGACATTTGCCCAAAATCACCCCACTCACTTTGACTTGGCCAACAGGTGATCTTTTGAACCACCAAGCAAAAACGCATAGGGAACAGTGTCCGGAGCTCCAGAAAGGTGTTTCCCTCTCAAAAAGACACCCTTGTGTCGTTTCCCGCCATCCCGGCGCTTGCAATCCTGAGTCGTCCTTCTCTTCGCTGGTTTCTTATTTCGAATCCAAGCAGCTGAACGACTGGTGCCTGGCGCGAATTTTGGGGCTGGACAGCGTGGCGGGTCCGGGCCAGGCGACACCTTGCAGCTGCAGGATGCCCTGCAGGGCAAGTCGGTGCATGCAGGCGGCCCGAGAAAGCTTCGATGCTGAGACGGTATGTGTCAAACACGAGCGACCTCCAACGTGGCTGGTTTGTCGGTCGGTCGGTCGGTCGGTCGCTTGGCTTGTTGTGTGCCAAAATGGGGGGACCCCCCGAGACATTTGCCGGGGCGCCTTCCCTTTTGACAAGCCAAGCGTTGCACGATAGCAGCAAGTCAGTTCCTTGTTAGAGGGAATGGTGCTTTGTGGGTGGGATTCAAACTCCTTTTGCCGTCGTCACTGACATGAGACGGGGCTTTCAGAAGCAGCTGGCCACATTTTTGTCACTTCCAGTAAAAAACACGGCCGGTCGTGCGTTTGCTTTTGGCAACCAACCAACCAACCAACCAGCCACCCAGCCAGCGAGCCAGCCAGCCAGCCAGCCAGCCAGCCAGCCAGCCAGCCAGCCAGGCAGGCAGGCAGGCAGCCAGCCAGCCAGCCAGCCAGCCAGCCAGCCAGCCACAAGATTGGGGTTGCCATGTTGCCATGCCAGGCGTGCAACTGCTCCGGAAGAAGCAGTTGCCACTGCCTGCGACCCTGCCGCTGGACTGCACAGAGCCATAAGCTGCTGGTTTCTGATGGAGTCAACCACTGCCAAGAGGATGGAACTGTTCTCAAGGACGATACCCCAGACAAAGCATGGGACATGCACGCGACTGGGCCATCCAGGCATTGGTGGTTTTTGGCTTTCGGTCAGAAGAAACAGCATGGGCAAGAGAACCTTTTGATCAAATGAGAGTTTCTCTATGACTTTTAGAAGGGAACCACGTCAAAAGCGGTTGGTTGACATGACTCCCAGCTACATGATGTGGGCCCCCTATTGAAATTCCCCCACCGGCAACAAGGCATTCACTTCTTGAGATTGAGACCCATTTCGGCAAGGCGGCATGGAGTCGGCCCACCCGCGAACACCATCCAGGGAATGAAGCTCCGGATGCAGGGTTTGCTGCAAAGTATCCTTCAGCATCTCCGCAAAGTTTGGACCCACCTGCCTCTCACCGGCATTTCCAGTGAACTCGTGAAGATTGCTTCCTTCGAACATGAGATATCCGGAAAATAAAGTCGAATAGCACCTCAAACAATGTCCGAACAGTACTGTGTACAATGCCGCACATATGGCCCGATCAGCCCTCAAACCAAAGCATTACCCGAACCTGCCTTCAAGCAGCACCTCATAGGACAACTTGTACATTGCCCAAAGCAGATGCTTGACATATTCTGAATTTGTAGATGACTCCAAAGCATAAGCCGATCTCAACCCGAGCTTGGCATCAAGCAAAAGAAACCAAGTTTCACCCGGGTGTAACCTCAAACAGCATCCTACGAGCGCATAGTGCCAATTACCCACCCTTGCCCGAATATGTCCTTATACATAGGCCATCCAGAATCCTCACAACACTTCAAACAGCACAGCAGGACATGATTTCAACCTGGCCCCGGAACTTAATCCTCTTCACAGCCGTCCTCATATTTCCCGTTTTGGAGGGATCCAGTATTGCAGTATCGTGGGCATTCAAAAGGATCCCCCTTAATTGGTGCAACACTTCGGGAAATCAAATTGACCCTTGTCCGAAGGAACTTCCTGCCAGCGCTCAAGGCTGGTGGAGATCGAAAAGCCAGGGTTGGGAGGGTGTGGCAGTTGCTCAAAAATAGATTTTGGTCCCCCAACCCCCAGTGCCTAGAAAAGGCAACAGAATTTGCGGTGCGGGTGGTGGCGGGTACTGAACTTTGAGCTGCACCCATGTGTGTCAAAACCGAGTGCTTTTTCGACCTGGGAGGCACCAGAAATTGCTGGTTTAGGGAGAGATCATTTGAGAACCGGCTGAGGGCAGCAGAAAGTATTCAAATGCAACTGCAGTGGGGATCATCGATTTCTCATTTGGCGGCGGTTCAAAAATCCAGGGACTCGTCCAACATATCAGGCTTCATGGCTTCCTTCGGCAATCCTAGAATAGGCTCTGGCTGTGGACCACAAATCAGCCTGGGCGAGATCGCTTAATTGGCCTTTCGGGGCAAAGGACCCTTACGCAAAGCCAAAAGAAACGCATTTTATGGGTTTGTGTTTTAAGGCTCATCACGGCGTATGATTTTTCTTCTGGGGGTCTTCGTCTCTCTCCTTGTCCTTCCGCTTAAGTTTCTGGAATCCCTGAAAAGGGTTTGAACCTTTGCGGGTGGAAATCATCCATTCGAAGGGCCACTTCTCAGATCTTTCACGAGGTCTATCTATCCTTCGGATGAATTTCACATTTCCCCGTGGAAGAGAAGCCGCTCGGGCATATTTTCGGGTATGGGTTCTGGAGGTACGGAGGTGGAGAGTCCTTCAAAGTGAAAAGTCCTGGGGAAGGTGTCTCCCTGAAAATGCCCTAGGCCGACCATGTGGAGAGGCTTTAAACGATTTGGAGACGGCCAGCAGCTTTTTTCCGTCGGTTCGCGCAACACACATGTTGGAACTTTGCTTCAGCCAGAGGTTGAGCTGGACCAATTCCAGATTGGGGTTGCCTCCAAATGAAAGGCCGGTTCCTTTTTGGTTCCCGCCAAACCACCCCTGAAAGGGTTCCTCAAAGAAAGAGACCCTCGTTTGCTCGCCTTGAAAAGGCGTCGGTGGCCAGCACAGCCGCTCGGCAGCTTTTGTGACACGTTCGCCGGCTGTTCGCGAGCCAGCCGGCTCAAGAACCAGGTTTCGTTCCAGGGGTTCCAGTGAAGAGCTTCAAGAATGCAGGACTGACTCTTTCAATCTCACAAGAGAAGGGGGACCCTTTGTGCGGTTCAGTGCATGCTGAATGAGGTGGAGCGGGCTCAATACTGCGAGTGCCACACGACACTCGGCATTCACTAGCTGCTGCAGTTGATGCGGTGCCTTTCTCCCACATGGATGTGAAACGGCATTTGCATATGTACAAAGGCTTACATAGAACCTAGGGCACCATCACCCTGACCTCTTCTGAAGACGTGTTGGTCGCATCGGATTCTCATGTCGGTCAAGGGGTGACATGGCTCAGGCCTTTTGGAACAAGGGTCTGTTCCATGAAACCTACAAAAGGTTAGACCTGTTGCTCAGGAGGGAAGAGGAAGTCAAGAAACCTATAATACACAGATACAGTATACATATGTATGTACTCATGCACACATATATATATATATATATACACATGCACATACAGACCTTCACGAACAGACACACACACACACACCCACACACACACCCCCACACACCCCCACCCACCCCAACCCACCCACCCACGCATGCACGCACGCGCGCGCGCTCACGCACGCACGCACGCACGCAGACACACAACACGCAGACACGCAGACACGCACACGCGCCCACACACGCGCACACACGCGCGCGCGCGCACACGCGCGCACACGCGCGCACACACGCGCGCGCACACGCGCGCACACGCGCCCACACACGCGCCCACACACGCGCACGCACACGCGCGCACACACGCGCACACACACGCGCAGACACACGCGCGCACACGCGCGCACACGCGCCCACACACGCGCCCACACACGCGCCCACACACGCGCACACACACACACGCTCACACACACGCGCACACACGCGCGCACACATGTACAAAAACAAATTATCATGTAAATGCTGCGCAAGGACATGAAGCACTTTTATGTTTGATTTGGATGTCAGTTGCAAGTAGGATGTAGCTCCTGCTGAAAATTGTGCCTCTTGAGCTGGGGCTGCCAAAGTGCACTTCGCAGACTCCAACGTGACTTTAAGTGCACTTTGCGTTCGAGCTGTTTAGCTAGGAACTCTTTTTGAAAAACTTTTGCCTGTTTTGACTTTGCATGGAGGTGCACATCTTGTCAGCTCAGTTCAGAGTCCCTCCCAGTCTGGCCAAAAACTTGAGTTCTGGACGAAAACATGAATATTTCAATCGGGGGTAGCACATATATATATATATATACATATTCTTCTTGTTATATGCATATGCTTGTATACGTATACCAATACCTACCCCTTTTGTTTTTGGGTCGCTGTTCATCCGGCGCACTAATGCGGATTCGGATTCGTCCGAGGCACTTTGTTGGCTGGCGGGACAGCAGGCCGCCCCAGATCTGGTGTGCCCCTTTGAAGGGTAAGCGACCCGCAAGTGGTTGCGCCCCGGCACTTCTTGGGACTGAATGTCAGTTCGCGGTTGCGCCTGGGCAAACTCCGCTGCTCCCAGTCTGTCAGCCGTACACGTGATGCATTGCTTTCTGGCGGTTCCAAGAGGCAAACTCAGTGGAACCCTTCAACGAATTCTGATGAACTGGCAGGACAATGATGTGTTTTTACATCCGAAGGGAAACCATTTGTTGCCCGTTGAACGGGAAATTCCCAGAAAATACCTGGCCCACCAATCCTCGTCCTTCTTGGGAACCCCGGTGCCTAGGCCACAGCAACCTGAAGACCAGCGCAGACTTCATCGGCCTCAGCAATCTTGCAGAGGAGAGCGGCAGTACGCATTGGTTTGCAATCTCGACGGAATGAGGCTTCGCTGTCATATTTCGGCCTTGGGGGGGCCTTTGGTGATTGTCCTTTGCGTTGTTGAACCGCGGTAGGTTGTCAGGTTGGCCACTGCAACATGTTGCCCCATGATTGCATCTCAGGATGGTTTCCCTGGTTGGGTGACTCTAAACGGGTAGCAGATTGGTTGCTTTCGGATGCTTTATGATCCTTCGTAAACCCTTTCAGAACCTGGCAAGCGAGTCCCCTGATGTCCCGCGGCTGTCGGCATGAGCTGCGACTCTCTGGGTTGCAAGGCGGTCAGCAACCCAGTTGCCAACATGCAGATGTGGAGATGGGATGGTTGACTGTGGCTTTTCTGGGAGTGATATGCGGTTGCGTCTTTGTTGCAGGTATTGTTTTGGAACTACAAGGATGCCAGCCATGTGGAAGAGGGGGGGGCCCGTTGATGAACAGAAGCCAAGAGGGTCTGAAATAGGTGTTTCTCAAATAGTCCCCCAAAAATGGTTGGTTTCCTGTTGGCTTCCCTGAGAACAAAGTCGGTCCCCAGTTTTGTAATTCCAAGCCCCCGCGGCCCCTTTCGAGAAGATATCCTTCCGCGGTTCTACGAGCCAACATGACCACCAAGTGGAAGGGGTCTCCAGCTTGTACCCATCTTTGTGATCTTGGCTTGACTCTTCCTACGGTCATATACATATACATATACCTTTGCATATACACAGTCCCTTTGTATTTTTTTTTACATTGCACAATATATGTATATATATATATGTATATATATATATATATATATATATATATATATATATATATATATATATATATATATATGCAAACACGCATTCAATCACCTTACCTTTGCCCAGCAACAATCCTGCCAGATGGTGTGGACGTTTTTTGGACTTTTCTTCTGAACCTTCCGACTCCTGCTAGAATGTGACAATGTTGTTCCAAATCCAGGGCGCCTCCCGAACGACAGATTTCCTTAGCTCCTTTCTTGCTCCTTTCTTGCGTCCATCGGGGTCCCACGCACGAGGAATTCCGGGAGGCGCGCGCCAACCTCGTGAAGCAGGCCTTGAGAAAAGCGAGAAACGGGGATGAAGAGGGGGCCACCCCCCCCCGGCAGAATGCGGGATCCTTCAAAGCGACTGTGAACCTGGCATTTTGGGCCTGGGCGATGAACACCTCTCCAAAGGGGCGGAACAAAACGTCTGCAATCGGAATGGGTGCTGGCCCCTTGGAGGCCACTTCGTTGTCTCGGATTGAACGGGTCATGGCGGGAACGAGACATACATGTGTTTGCACACTTTTTGTCAGGAGACACGTGACGGGACCCGTGGGGGCGGGGTTTGGGTCTGCATCCTAGAACATTCAGAGTTCCGGCGCACTGGGCTAGCGGATCTCTGCGCTTTTCACATGGGAATCAGAGAGCGGTGTGTCCGTGTTGAATGGATGGCACTGGGAAATAATTGGAGCCGAACTGAAAACTGAAACCAGTATCATTCGTTTCCCACCACATCGACTCGCAAAGGACACCCATGAAGACGGTAAGCCTCTTTTGTCCTTGGTTGACATCACTTTGGGGATTTGTGTAAGTGTCCATCATTCATTGAAGGCGCCCAACCATTCGAATCCATATCCGTGTTGTTTTGCCAGCGTTGGGTTGAGTTTCCTCGATTGTTTTGGGGCCTTTTAAGGGGGGCATATTAGCTTGGGGTGGTCCACAAAAATGGTAAGTTAGGGGATCCAATTGAGAATCAGCATGTAGGATTTCCTCACGCCTTTCCTTTTTGCACGGTCCCTGGACTAATTGGCATGGTGTGCGTTCTTCCTCTTGGCGTGAGGAGGAGGCCCACCAGTGCCCGCCGCGACGCATCCCCGGGTTCTCGGCGCGGCGCGCGCCGGTGCTGGCGATGAACCGCGGCTTGGCAAGGCGAAGGGTGCGGTCCAAGGCGACGGGTTTTTGGGGACGAGGGATGAGCAGGGGATATTTACTTTACCGCCAAAGAATGAAATGAGCAGGGTTATTATGGTTATTTACTTTACCACAAAAGAGTTTGAGCAAACGAGTAGAAAGGAAACCAACAGGAAAGCCAGAATTGTTTTTGGGGTCCCAACCTAATCTGACACATATCCAGAAAGCGAAGAATCCCGCGGAGTTGAAACCTGGCTCGAAATGCCGTAGACAGTTTTTGTTGGATGTTTGTGGGGACAGACTTGGCTTCCGTTCGTGGTGACCTTGGCCCCTCCCCTGCATTGTTTCACATCAAAAGGAGGTTCCTCTAAAAGTGATGGGTTTTGGGGTTGTCCCCTGGAGCCCGCGGCTCGTGGGGGAAGACAGACTCAGAGAAGAGCAGGCAATCGTTGCCTTTGTTTTTTGGGAGGACTCCCAATTTGGCCAGACATGCCCACATGCTGCAACGGGGGAAGCAGAATTCCCACCAACTTTTGGGGATAAACCCAGTCACCGCATGCCAGCGACAGACCTCTCTCACCAACAGGGTTGCTCGGGGTCTCAAGATGATCAAAGCAAAAGTTGGGCAACAACTTGTTTAAACAACCAACCCCTGGTCCCCATTTAAAGGGAAATCCAGGAGCCTGTTTATTTCAGCAACAGTTGATTTAAACATGTTTACACCAGAAAGTCGCGCTTACCAGGAGCCACAAATCTTCCCTTGTGCCGATTAAATCGGCCGAATGGGAGCACCCCTGAATAGATGTGTTTTGGCCATGGTGTTATTTGGGGGGTGGTTTAAAGGGACACCAAAAGGACAACCACCCACTATTTGAAGACACACCCACAGAATGAGGGGCAAGTTGGACTTTTTTTTGGGCCAATCCACTTTTGAGGTGGCTCCATTGGCTTCAATTTTCTCCCTCGCAGACGGGACGCTTCCCTGCCCAGGTGGGTGCGGATGATGGCTTCGGCTTGCGGGAAGATCCGGGGCAATTCAAGGCCAGGAATTCCAACCAATGCAAGCATCCGGCGCCAACTGAGCGTCAACTGAGTATATAAAATCAAACTTTTGGGTTGCCATGATTGCCCCATCTGAGCTTGCCAAAGGCAAGCGCTTTTCGCACGCTGCGTGGGGGGTTCGGCCATGTCTCCCAATTCTGGGATGCGGAAGGCGTGAAGCGGGTGGTTTCCTTCTGTTTCTCTTCAAAGGATATGCAAGATGGAGTAAACATCTGCAGAAAAGGCACACCAATTTGAATCCGCGGGGGCAGCGGTCTCTGTCTGTACCTGACCTGTTGGTTCTTTCCCTCTTCAGACTTGGCCTACGCACGTTGCGCTCATCGCTTCATTTGACACCAAGCTGCCCAGCCAGTCTGGGAGTCCGGAGGGTTGCAAGGCCTGGCACTTCGCTGGTGAGGGGACGCTTTGCAAATTTAAACATGACTTGTTTGGGCCAACTGTCGCTGGGTTTCCTCTTGGTGTGATGTTTCAGGTGGAAACAAACGGAGCCCTGAGACAGGACCAGAGATTTGGGTCACAATTCAAAGAGGGCATGGAGTTTCGACCATGTGCGGAGACGGCCAAGCAGACGGCATGTGGGGCAAAGGACCCGCAGCAAAGGAGTCTTATTGGAAAGAAGGGATCGAGAGCCTGCGGGTGGGTGAAGGGTACATAAATGAGTCTTGTGTGGTTTGGGTGCTCACGCGTTTGTCTTCAGTTGAAGACCCCGTGTTTGAGTTTAAAGAGGAAGCTGGCAGATCAGCTACTTGGGTCCCGCATTTTCAGAATCACCAACATGTCTTGGATCCGAGTTCAAATTCAGCAACACAAGCACATAGCATGACGATCGGCCACGGGCATGGCGTCGACCATGCGGCATGTCAAGCAAAGGATGGCAAACGCTCTGAACAGCTCGGGGGACCTTGATCTTGCTCAATGCCCACCTTTTTGTCATAAGCTGCTTTGGAACACTCAGTGGCTTGGATTGGCGCGTTGGTCGTGTGGCAATGTCAAAAGGCGAGTATGGGCAATGCTCTGAGTGGGTTTAAATTATTTTTAACATTTTCCATTGGGAAATGAGCATATTTCAGGGCTGTTTGACCGGAATTGTAGCACTGTAACCTTTTGCCACAAGTTGTTTCAGAGTATGTCTAGCATGGATTCGCTATGTTTAGAACATGTCAAAGAAGTTTCAGCAAGTGTTTAGTGCATTCCCATTGTGTCTCAAGTAAGTGCCTTTAGCTGCACGACGTTTCTATTTGGCCTCGAGTCTGCATGCAGATGTTCAACATAGACTCTGCATACTCCCATCATAATTTCTGGAACATTTAAAGGATCTTATGTCGAAATGTGTTTAGCTTAGCTGATGGTATTTGCAGCGCGGTTCTCATAATACGTGGCTACCATGTTTCAAGCCAGGTTTTAGATTTGTTCGGGATATGGTGAGTTTGTACTAGCGTTTGTCAAACTGCAACCTCCTAGCAACTCCTTTTGCAACTATTTTCATATTTTACAGCGCTACATCAAAGCTGAAAACAGCGAGCGCTCCGGACACTGCCCTCTCTGGGAAATGGGGGTTACCCACATCCCCGAAAAGGTACACGACCCCGCGAAAAAAGACACGACTTCCAGCCCCAATCTGTTTCACTGGTATTGACCATATCTTGCGATTTTGACGCCTAATGTTGGGATTCACTGCTCAGGGAAATTCAAGTGAAGGCACCTGGTCTCTGTAAATTCATCACACCTGCAAGAAGTGCAAACCGTGGGGTAACCACAATGTTGTTAGTGTGTGAATACAAGGAACGCAGCGACGATCTCTGTGCAGCATCTGATGCCTGGAGAAAGCTTTTGCGTGTATCAGGAGACGGCCCAATCCGATAAAACCCAAAACCTCAAGGATATCCTAAAAGATAGAAGACAAACCATTCCCCAGACATACAACATTCCCTCAGTTTCTTTTTGCTTTTTTGTTTTCTTCCATTTTTTGCTTTTGCAAATGGGAGGGGTCTCAGGCATGCCCAAAAACATGTCCCTCAGAACTTGGCTTGTATTTCCGTCGATGTGTGTTGGTTCGGAAAATAAAATGTTATTTAACAGTTCAAATACCTCAAGATATTGCCTCATGCCCACTTCGACACTAAATCACAATTGCGGATAATCCACAAAACACACCACTCGGGGCATTGTTTCCCGATCTTGACACGCACAGTAGCCATGTATGCAAAGGCGCGGCACAATTTGCACGAGTAAAATGAATTTTGCAGAGCAGCGCACGTCGAGTTTACTCGAAAATTTAAACGTCTTGCGCGGAGCTTACTTGCAAGAAGCTTGAATATCCAGTTTGCGCAGAGCTTGGTTGGGAAGAGTTCGCTTCCATAGAATACCTTGCACTAAGCTTGACTGCAAAGAGACAGCATAGAGACAACATCTTGCACACAGCTTGTATCAGCTTGTTCTAGCCGACGTAGAAACCAACCAAACCGCCGAAGGGAAGCATTTTGCCTTTGAAGAGAAGAGTTGGCCATAGAGCAACCTAACGCAGAACATCTTGCACGGAGCTTTCTGTCGTTGAGAGAATACTTTCACAGCTCAAGCTGAATGGGGCTTAGTTGGCACTTGCTTAGAGAATCTTACACTAAGACTACTTGCCAGGCAAAACTTAAACACAAAAAGGCTTGCATAGAGCCACATCTTGAGAAGCGGAACCATAGCTGTTTAAAACGCACATCCTGAAGGCAAACAGGCGGGACGGACACGCACACCGGGTTCACTTTGCGTGGATGGTACGGCATCGAATGCATAAGCATTTGTTCCTTTCGCATTGTGGCCCTTGCAACTCTCTAGAATCGTGCGTGTCGAAGATGTGAACGTGTGGGGAAAGTGAACCCCCAAAATGGTTGGTATCTGAGGGACATCTAAGAGGACACCCGTACCAGTTTCGGGGCCGATTCCTATTTGGAGGAACCCTTTTTATGCGGGTGCGAAGAAATGAACACAAGGGTGTGTGTCCAAATGGGGGGACCCAAAGACTATGCGGCGTCCCTTTGTGTTCCCTTGACACCAACCTGAAACGAGTACAGACGTCGCCACTTTTTGCCCCCCGCCGAGGTGGCGATTGGCCAGCTGGTGCGGGCGTGCGCCGCAAGTTTGCTGCGGCGGGCGAGGTCGGTGCATGGCTTCTGCGGACCACCTGTGGTTGGCGAACCGTTTTTCGGCATTTGGTTCTGTTTGATTGCGAGGGGCAAGATCGAGACTTGTTCATGCCGAGGGCTGGGAAGTTTACCAAGTTTCGTCATTAGCACAGCATGAGGAGAAGGGTTGCTTGTTCGGGTGCCATATTGGTATCGCAACGGGAGCTCCATGTCATATTTGGCGACAGACCAGTGTGTCGAAAACGAGGGGGGTCATCGGCATGCCGGCTCTTCGAATGGGGTCAACGGTGCAGTGCTGGCTTTGGGGTCCCTTTGGATCCCTGGAGTGATGCCACCTGAGATCACTGATCTTCTCTGTGCGGGGGGATTGATCCAATCCGAGCCCTGCGGTTTGCTCTGGTTGAGCACTGCTTGGTTTCGGGTTTGTTTGCTCGGTTTCGGCTTGTTTTGTTTAGGATGGTTTGGTTCGTTTTTTGTTTTTGTTTGGCTTAGGGGTTGTTGTTTGCTTGGTTTGGTTTGGTCTGATTTGATTTGGTCTCGCTTTGTTGTTTGCTGTTTCACTTATGTGGTTTAGGGCTTGTTCGCGCGGTTTCTGATTTGGTATGTGCTTCCTTTTGGTTCAGCTTTGTTTGAATTGGGTCTGGGACTTTGGGACTTGTCTGCGTGGGTTTGACTTTCGCAGGTCCAAGGCCGATAGGGCGACCTCCTGCCGCGGCTCCCGGCGTTTGGGGAGGGCGAAGTGAGCTTCCTGACTTCCGAGCAGAAACTCGTGGAAACAAAAACCATGGCCCGACTTTCCTTTCGGACTGTGTTTGGGTACCTAGTGGACTTTAAACTTGGGACGATCAGTTTGGTGGTAAACGCACAGTTTCAACTTTGCTGACTAATCCACAAAGGAAGTGAGGCCCAAGCCGTCTGAGCCAGTCTCAAACTCCGGTGAAGTGAGGGCCATTGGTCCACGGTCAATTTGGCAGGGACATGGGGGACTCTCTCTAAGTCTCCCACATCCTGAGACAGATCAGATGTTTTGAACATTGGACTTCCCTGCGACTAACATGGCACCTCACAGGGGTCCCTTCAAGAAAAATGATCTTCCAGGTACAGTACTATGTTTGTGGGAAGAAGGGAACTAAGTTTTGATAGCTCCTCCTGGCTTTGCTTGTAACTTGCAAAAGGAGCTTTGGGTGACAGGCTGTGATTTGGTTGATTTTGGATGTGGCGAGTTGTCGAGTGTGAGCGCGACAGTTTTGTCGGGAACGCGAAAACGCCACAGCCGGCAGTTTGCACATTCGTTCCAATTTGTGTGTCCCGGGCCCCAAATCAAGTGAGCCCTTCGTTTTGCTGGGAAATCGAGACAAAGACATTCCATGAGCTCGCGAGCTTTCAAACAAAGACACATGTGAAGGCCTTGATCCTCGATTTTGGCTTGTTGGCACCTTGCTGTCCTTCCTGCTTGACGTTGGCACCTGATTCGTCCGGACTTTGGCGAGGTGTGAAAAGCGAGGAGGGGCCAACGCCTCAGGGAACGTGGACTCGGGACACACGCCACCGGATGGATGTCGACCTGAATTAAGCTAAGTATGCAAAACGGTACTTAATGAGGTTCTCCCTTTCCTTTGGTGGGGATTTGAATCGTTTTTTGTTGGCTCCTTTGATTCGTATGGCCTTCTGGATTGATGCACAGTTGGCAATATTACCGAATCGTGATTGATGCCCCCCCCCCCCCTGAGCCCATTGCTTCTTGTAGTAGTGCTGAGCAGAAAAGTATAAGTTTCATGTTATGCCGTTTTTCAGGTGCTTTCTGGCCA